AGGAGGCAGCATCTCCCAGCTCTGCACCTGTGCACCCCTATTGCCCCACTAGGAGCCATGATCCCCTGGTGGTGCTCCCCTCCCACCCCTGGGGAACACTAGTCTCTGCTCTCTCTGCCCCCCAGTTCCCTTCCCTTGGGATCCATGGTCCCCTGCGTGTGCCCTGACCTGCAAGTAGTGGGCACTGCCCCCCCCCTTATCTGCCCTAAGCACCCCCGTGCCCTCTTTTGGGCCCTGGGGTACCCCCCTGCTGCTTCCACCCCTCCTCACTCCCCCCCACCCGTTTCTCGTCTCCCAGAACCTCACCCGATCCCTAATCCCCAAGATCATCTCAGCCGTCAAGCAGCTCATCCCCGTTAATGAGGTGGGTGAGGGGCATCGGGGTGGGGGGGTGGCATTTCCTGTCTCACATAGCTAGTGGGATGTGCCAGTGATTCTGGCATGTGGGCATGGTCATGGAAGAGGCATGTTCCATGCTGGAATGGGTGGGGTTTGGCATGACCCCAGGGTCATTACTGGGTGATCGTGGACCCCGGGGGGGGGGAGGGGCCAGGCATGTTGGTGGGGTCATGTGTGGAGATGCTGCCTCTTTCCCCTGCATGGTGTGGGTGGGGCTTGCCATGATCTTGGCATGTTGATTGGCATATGCGCCTTATAACGTTACTCAGCACAAGCTCATTGGGGGTCGGTGCGGCTCTGGCATGTCCTTGACATGTTGACAGGTTACATGTGGAGGCGTGTAGCACCCCCTGCAACCTGGGGCGGGTGGGGTTTGGCGTGACCTGGCGTGTGCTTGGCGTGCCAGGCCCAGGCCAGTGAGGCGATGGAGGTCTTCGACGAGCTGATGGAGACTGAGGTTGCGATTGTCGTTCCACACCTCTCGGAGGTTGTTGGCTTCTGCCTGGAGGTAAGTGGGGGTCAGCCACTCTGCAGCAAAACCAGGGGTCTGGATGGGGCCAGGATGCAGTGCTCTTTGCCTGGGCACCCAGGTGTCCAAGCTAGCCCAGACCCCATTCTTGCTGTGCCACCCCGCATGCACAGTCTCCTCCCACTCGGGTGAGGAAACTTGGGGATCCCAGGCAGCTCCCCCGCTGCCCACCCCCTGTGAAAGAACCCAGGCATCCAGGGCAGCTGCCCCCCCCCAAGGAACCCAGGAGTCTGGGCTCAAGCTGGCCCTTCTCCACAGGTGGCATCAGATCAAGCGCTGGGGGATGCTGTGCGGGTCAAGGCCCTGGGCACCATCAGCTTCCTCATTAAGCTGAAGGGCAAGGTAACAGGCAGGGGCAGGGGGTGGCTGTGGGGGGCTGGGCTAGTTGTGGGGCAGGGTTGTCCTTGGCAAAACAGCAGGGCCTG